GGATCGAACTCATGCTAAAGTGGTATTAGCATCTTTAGTGCTGTGCTTTAACCCGCTGCCACCAGGGAGGGCCCTGTTCCCTTTATGCTCCTGCCATGAGTGAAATCATCCGGTATTTTTCTTTTTCTTTCTGGCTTATTTCACTAAGCATAATAAGCATAATCCCTTCCAGCTCCATCCATGTTGCTGCAAAAGGCATGTGTTTATCTTTTTTGATTGCTGAGTAATATTCCATTGTGTATATGTACCACATCTTCTTAACCCAGTCATCTACTTTTGGGCATTTGGGTTGATTCCACATCTTTCCTATTGTAAATAGCGCAGCAGTAAACATGGGGGTGCATGATTCAAAATACTGATTTTGAATTGCTGGGTCCTATGGAAGCTCCATTTTTAGCAGTTTGAAAAACCTCCAAACAGTTTTCCAAAGAGGTTGTACTAGTTTGCATTCTCACCAACAGTGCAGGAGAGTTCCTTTTTCTCCACATCCTCGCCAACATTTGTTGTTGCTAGTTGTTTTAAGGTGTGCCATTCTCAGTGGTGTGAGGTGGTCTCATTGTGGTTTTAATTTGCATCTCCTTTGTTACAAGTGATGTTGAACATTTGAAAAAAATGTTTTTAGGAAATTAGAAGTATTACTATAGTCCTGTGTTTAACAAATACATAATGAATTGTAACTGAGTTAAGGCTTTTATTTGAACAACTTTTTATTCTTTTATGCTAATAGTTGTCAAAATAATGTAGTTAGCCTTGAATACATTAATTAAAAATTTTATAGAGTGAAACAGCCGTGAGCTGAACAGGATCTTGTGACTGTTTCACTTATTATCTGCTCCTTATAATTTCGTTGTGCTGATCCTTCTTGGCATTTTTATAGTTCATATTAATATGTCGCTCCTTGTTTTTTTGTTATGTTCTTAGTGTTTGGAGGACGTGATCTTCTAAGGAGATTAGTTTGAGAATCCAGAAATTTATCATCCCTGATATTCCCAACACACTCTTTATGCCTTTCTACTTTTTTTTTTTTTAAGATTTATTTATTTATTCGTACAGAACTGGGGTACAGGCCAGAGATGCGGAGGGTGAGAGGATTCACCAGAGACAGAGTGGGGCGCAGAACAGGCAGAACGACGAAGTACACTCCTGAGGGGAGCAGCAGGCGGGTCAGGAGAGGTCTGCCTCGCCATGTGGATCTCCTCCCGGGCAGGCGGGGATCGAGCTCATGCAGAAGTGGCTTAAGCTTCTTTGTGCTGTGCTTTAACCTGCTGCGCCACCAGGGAGGGCCCTCCTTTCTACTATTATTTGGAGAAAAGTTAGCATAATTTTGCCATCACTAAAACAAATTTTAGAAATATTTCACTGTTCAAATTTATCACAAATCTTAAATTTTGTGCCCCCTCTCTCCACTAGGTTAAGACTGTGGTTAAAGAGTAAGCACTTGCCATGATTTTTCTTTTTTGGAACTTTATATATATATAAGAGGAATTCCACCACAGAAAAGGAGGCAAAATAGTGTGCTCGACCCTCTGGTTTGTGTCACCCTACCACCAATAACCATCAATCCCTGGGCTTCCCCTATTGTCCCCATACAATACCCCTAGCTGCCTCTTCCCTTCATATGTTATTTGAAGAATTCCTGTATATTGTTATCAGTTCATCTGTAAACATTATCTCTAAGAGATAAGGACTTTAAAAAACATAACCACTTACACATATACACAGTGGAATATTACTCAGCAATCAAAAGATAAATACATGCCTTTTGCAACAACGTGGATGGAGCTGAAAGGGATCATTCTTAGTGAAATAAGCCAGAAAGAAAAGGAAAAATACCAGCTGGTTTCACTCATAGCAGGAGTATAAAGGATCAGGGGAGAAAATAATAATGATAATGAACAACTATATACCAGAGACATTTTACAGGGTGGAGTGGGGAATGGGATCAAAAATGGGGTGGGGGGAGGAAGTGCACTGGGCTATGATGATGGCACATGGGTGATTTGGTGATGGGAAGCCCGCGGGGATTACAACTGCGGTGGAAAAGGGCACAAAATGATGTAAAAAGAAACTATTATTAAAAAAAAAACATAACCACTTACAGTTATCACTACTAAAGTTTTTAACAGCTTGTAGTATGAAATATTTAACCTATGTTCAAATTTCCAGCCAGTGTCCCTTTTTGGGTATTGTTTATTGCCCCCCCGCCTTTTGACATTGTTTGCATTGGGATTCAGGTAATACTGTGTTATGATGAGTTGATATATTTAAGTTTCTTTTATAAGCTGTAGATTTCCCTTCTATCCTTTTATTTTTTCCTTTGCAACTTGAAAGAACTATGTTGTTTGTCCTATAAAGTTTCCATTGGTCTGCATTCTGCTGAATGCATCTTCATGGTGTAGTTTTATATGATCTTTCTGTCCTATGTATTTACTGTAAATTCAGGTTCCTGGTTTTTGGCAAAATTTTTTCAAAAATGGCAAGGTATTTTAGATCTGAAGAAGTGTGTACATGTTTATATAAAGTATAGCTAAAGTGTTGTATATCAAACAAAAAAGTTTAATAGAATACAGTGAAGACTGTCGGTCTTGCCATTTTTGATGTTCTCTCTTTCTGCATATATATATATGCATACAATTTTGTTCTAACATTAGAAAATACATCATTCCTTTTTAGCATGAAAATTTCTCTTATTTTTTATTTATTTTTTTTATTTATGCTTATAGAACTGGGGTATAGAACAGGTAAGAGGTGTGGTGGGTGAGAAGATTAACCAGAGACAGAGCCAAGAGCAGAACAGGCAGATCTACTGAAATACACTGCTGAGGGGAGCACCGGGCGGGTCAGGAGAGGCCTGCCATGCCATTTGGGTCAGCTTCCTGGAGGGGGATTGAACTCCTGCTGCAGTGGCTTTGGAGAGCTTCATAATGTGGTGCTTTAACCCATTGCACCACCAGGGAGAGCCCGCAAATTTCTTTTAAGAAAGAATATTCTCACCTGATCACAATACAGTCAGCAAATGCTACAAATTAATGATGATCTTATAATGTCTTCTGATACTCAGTTCATAGTCAGATTTCCCAGTTATCCTTGTTTGGCCTGACCAACATACATTCTGGAGTCCCCTGTTGTCTTTTGTGTTTTTGTTTCTTATTTTATCTCTCTGTCTAAAATAGTTCCATCACATTTTTTCCCTACTACATTGACTTTTAAGAATCCAGAGAGTAGTCTTCACTCACATTTTGGATTGATCTTCATGGTGATGTTTAAACAATTGATCTTTTATGTCTTATATTCCATTATGGCTGGTCTTTCGATTTTTAAGCTGACATGCACCTTTTATTTAATCCCTTAGCCTATTTTTTCCTTTTGCATATTCTTAGTATCCTGTATTTCATCTTTGTTGTTACAGAACTTTCTCAAGGTGGCTGTATGAGCTCATTTCGATGGAATAGAGGAGGAGATTTCAAGGGACGCAAGTGGGATACTGACCTGCCCACTGATTCTGCTGTAAGTGTTACTTTGTTTTTTCAGTTTATTGTATTTTGTCTTTTTATTTTTCTGTTACAATACTGAATATTAAACGGAATTTTGGAATTGAGAATTAGAATTGTGTCAGCATCTTAATACAAAAATTGTACTATTTTGGTGTACTTCTTCCCCTTTACTTTTTATCCTTGATGTTTTTTATCATAGTTGTAATCATCCAGTATGTAAGATTTTTGTCTTCTGCAATTTTTTGTTATAGTGCAAAGTCTTTTTTCATTATCACAGTTATTTAACTTGTCTCTGATTTTAGACCTAAAACTTGGAGAAATGGGGTGGAGAAGAGATTTTGTTTTTCTGTCTAAAGTTAATTTACAAGGAATATCTTGGTATATATTGCTTTCCTATTTGGATTATCACTAAAAAGATTCTTAGAGTTAAACTTAAGAGATCAAAGAGTATAAAGCTTTTGAGCATTTAAAAGTTATAGTGACAATGTGAAAATGAAGTTTTAAATGCTGATATTCAGAGAATTGAATGTGTTTTATCTTGGTTTCTTTCTTAATTAGTTAGGAGTTTGATCAACTTTAACAGAAATCTGGGAATTTCTAGCTGTTATATTTTCTTTCTATAGATTTCCTCTTACAACCACTTGAAAGCATTTTTGTTCATTCTTTGTTTAGGGAAAATTTTAACACAGATGTCTTTAAAAGGTTACAACCCAAGTTAGAACACCATGCTGACTTTGTAAAACTGTTTTCTCTTCAGATCATCATGCATGTATTTTGCACCTACCTTGATTCCAGATTACCTCCACATCCTAAGTACCCTGACGGAAAAACATTTACTTCTCAGCACTTTGTTCAGACACCAAATAAGCCAGGTAGAATCCTTACCTAAAAGAATGAGTTGGTATTTTTCACATGAAGTGCTTCTGGTGGTTTGTTTTTTAATGTAGTGTATTTCCTTTACAGATGTAACCAATGAAAACGTTTTTTGCGTTTATCAGAGTGCTGTCAACCCTCCTCATTATGAGCTAATCTACCAGCGTCATGTGTACAATCTTCCAAAGGTGCGATTCTGTGGAAAATCTGCAATTACAGAATGTTATGGATGGCTCGCTTTGATAATATTTTTTAAATTAGTATTCTCTTGTTTATGGACTCAGTAAACTTTTAAAATTAGGGGAAATGTGTTTCCTGTATATCTTTTTTTTTTAACCATTAAAATAATATATACTTAATTTGGAAAAGTATAAATAAAAGGGAGAAAAGTCATTCATTAGGCTCACTTAAAGGCAGCTAGCTATTGTTAACATTTTAGTGTATTGTTTGATAAATTCCATTTTGGTCTTTGTGTTTCTTATGGTTTGAATTCATTATGTAGTTTTATGTCCTTTAAAAGTTTAACTTTATAATAGTTTTTAATGGCTATAACAGCTTTCATAAAATTGTGACATAATTTATTCTACCATTTCTTTTTTTTTTTTTTTTAAGATTTATTTATTTCTGCATACAGAACTGGGGTACAGGCCAGCGGCTCAGGGGTGGCAAGAGGCTTCACCAGAAACAGAGTAGGGAGCAGAACAGGCAGATCTACGAAGTACACAGCTGAGGGGAGCAGCGGGCGGGTCAGGAGAGGTCTGAGGCACCATGTGGGTCACCTCCCAGGCAGGAGGGAATCGAACTCATGTGGAAGTGGCTTTAGCTTCTTAGTGCTGTGCTTTAACCCACTGCACCACCAGGGAGGGCCATATTCTACCATTTCTTATTGTTGGACACTTTGGATGTTTCTAAGTCTTCATTATCAAAAGTACTGCTGAATAATTCATTTTTATGCATACAACCATCTGCATTTTGGATAATTCATTCATTCCAAAGTCCAAAAGTAGAATTTGTAGGTCACAGAATTTTTTCATTGTTTTTAAAATATATTACCATGTCACTTGATTTAAAAAGTTACTGTACCAGTTTACACTCTGATCCAGACATTTCATTCTTAATTATAAACATAAGTTTTCTTAAAGACCTTTGTAGTTATTTTGTGTCTTTGTGTCTTTTTTAAAGATTTACTTATTTATGCATACAAGAACTGGCGTACAGGCCAGAGGTGCTGGGGGGTTTGAGAAGATTCATCAGAGACACAGTGGGGAACAGAACTGACTGACTGGAATATACTGCTGAGGGGGCACAGAGGGTGAGACAGGAGAGGTCTGCTGTGCCATGTGGGTCACCTCTTTGGCCAGGGATCAAACTCATGTTGCACTGACCGCTGATAGATTGATAGTGCTGAGACTTACCCCTTGCAACAGGGAGCCCTGTAGTTATTTTTGTTACCTGGATTTTTCACAAAGAACTTTTATGTTGATATAAATTGTGTTCTTATCAGGTGCCTGCAGAGTATATTCATTTCACTTTTTTCAAGTTGATTAATAAATTTGTAAGTGTAAATTTTAGCCACTGGCATTCCTGTGAGCACCCATGCAAACCCCCTTTTTTTTCCCTCCTAAAGAAACACTGTCTTTTTTTTTTTTTTTAAGATTTATTTATTTATGTGTACAGAACTGGGGTACAAGCCAGAGGTGCAGGAGCAGTGAGAAAATTCACCAGAGACAGAGTGGGGAGCAGAACAGGCAGATTGACTGAAATACACTGCTGAGGGGAGCAGTGGCAGGTCAGGAGAGGTCTGTCGTGCCATGTGGGTCACCTCCCTGGCCAAGATTTGAACTTGTGCTGGAGCAGCTGCTGATAGCTTCATAATGTTATGCTTTAACCCACTGTGCCACAGGGAGAGCCCAAGAAACACCATCTTTCAAAAATCATACAGCTCAGGTCCTTGAATAAAAGCACACTAAATCCAAGTAAACAGGTAAAAATTGAAACTCTAATGTGAGGAGGAGCTATTATGAGAAATGATAAATATAATAGTTTTTGATATTAGGGCTCACAAAATGCTGCCTCCTAGTCCCTTATAGATAAAATAAATTTGTTATTTAATATACTACTTATACTGTATTTTGAAATGTAATTAAAAACTTCTAACCATCACTCTTGTTCTGGCTGTTAATGCTGGGGATAGAACATTTTTGTGCGTAACACACAGGAACACCAGCCCTCAGGCTAGCTCTGTTTCAGACTTCGTAAATGGCATTCCCCACCAGTGGGACATCCTAATCTGTTCACTTTCTGCTCCTCTTTCAGACCTCAACTTTAACGTCTTTACTTCAGGAGGGATTCCCTGCCTCACAATTCCAGATCAGACACTCATTTATGTGCCCAAGGCAGTGATCCTCCTCCTCCTCTCTAATGTTAGCCCACTGTGTTATCATTAGTAGTTTAGACTCTGCCTTTTGTACTAGATTTTAAGCTCTTTGATTACATGGACCTTCTGTCTTATTCACTGCAATATTGCTACTTCTTAGCACAAAGTAGACACAAAAATCTAAAGTACTTAAAATTCTGAATTAGCAGACTGTGCATTGATAGGATACGCATTTCCCTAACAGACTGAATCTTTATGGTTTGGTTTAAATTTATAGTAAGATAGTTATACAGTGCTTATTGTTCATCTTTTTTGTCTTTCATCCAGGGACGAAATAATATGTTTCATACATTACTAATGTTCCTCTACATCATAAAGACCAAAGAGTCAGGAATGCTTGGGTAGGTACTTATGCTTTAAAAACACAGTTATTTAATCTGCTTACTATTTTCCCTCCTGTGGTAAGATCTGCAGAAGTCACCATCATAGACTGGAAAGATTTACGGGCTGAGCAACAAGAGGTATGGTTTGTAACACTGTTGAACACTAAGGAGCTCTGCTGTCTTGGGCAAGTCTATTCATTTTCCAGAACCTTCAGTTCCCTGTTGGCAAAAGGTAGTTAAACCACATCATTGTCTTTACAAATGGAACAACTGAGATCCCTATCAGGTTCTTATACTTCAAATTTTAAAAAGTTTTTTTCCCACCAACCATCCCACTTCAGAAGCAAAGCTTATAATATTGAAAAAATGGATATTGAATTGGTTACTTTCTTTGGTAGTAAAGCTCACATACTGTTATAATAAATTCAAAACCACCATCATTTTAGTAATATGAAATTTACTGTATTAAAAAATATTTGAAGTTAAGTGTATCCCACCCAACTAGTTTGGGTAAGTTGGGCCATGCCAGTCTGGGAGTCAAAACTTGGGCTCCAGGTTCAGCTCTGCCCACAGAAAGTAGCCAGAGACTCAGCAGAGGAAAAAAGAAGAGCTTGGAGTAGAACACATGTGGGCTTCACTGCAGCTCAGATGCGCATGCTTTGAGCTCATGTAGACTTCCTGCTCACGCACGCCCGGCCGCCGCTGTCCAGCACAGCAGTGAGCATTTGAAACACAACTGTTTAACTGAGAGGTGCTGGTAAAGGTGAATAAAGGGACTAGAATTTACTAGATCTACTAGCCAAAACAAACAGAATATTCCATAATTTTGGTTACATGTTGAAATATGTTGGGCTAAAATGAAATAAAATACATATGTTAATTTCACCTGTTTGTTTTTACCTTAATGTCTATTTGGTGTCCATTAGGAAAATTTAAATCGTATGTAGCTTAGATTTGTGTCTCAAATTACATTTTACTTCTAATATGTCTTTTTAAAAAGCCAGATTCCTACCCTTAAACATACATACTAGATGCAAAGATTTAAAAAAAAAAAAATAGAAATGTGTAAGTAAATATAAACATCAGCTCTTCTATCATTTAGTCTTGTACAAAGTAAATTTTTTTTTTCTGTCAAATTGAGAGTGGTCATTTACAGGATTGGTGAGGGTGTGAGGAAATGGAAAAACACTGTGGATAAATTACCTTTTTGAAGGGCATTTTTGTAATTCATCTGCATTTGTAATTGTTTTCAAAATTAATACATACTCAGTTTTAAAAGTCATATGGTGTAATAGGTCATGGAGGCAGTTCCCACTCCTCAAGGGAAACTGCTTGGCAGTCAGCTTTTTCTTCTGATACTATGCCCATAGTTGCATACAAAGGTCTGTAACTCTCAGTTCTTCAGTTTTGGACATTTCAGGTTGATTTCTTATTGTGTTAGGCAAGAGGTTTATCTTAAGACCTTCTCTTTTCCCCTTACACTTTGAATACAATCAGATTTCTCTCTGAAATAGAAGTAAATTTTTCTCTTTCTTACTATAGCTATAAGCTATAGTACATGCAAATTCACTAAAATATTTCTAATAATTAGTAAATTCCTATTTCAAGTCAAATAGAACATTTTCTAAGAGGCCTAACAGCTCTATTCCCTCCATTTTTTCAATTCAGTTGACACTTCCACTTTAATCCTGCTTGCTAAAATTATCCTGTTAACTCTATTATCTGGTGTAATAGTTCTTCAGGTCCACTGAAAAATTAATTTTCAACACTCCATAAAACCACTTATTCTAAATTTGGGTTTTAAGCACAGTTAAGAAAGTAATTACTGCTAGAAGTATTCACCTGTTAAACCATGTGCACCATAACTCATTGCAGAGTAGTGTTAAATGTCATCGGTTAAACACGTATTCCTTGTTAAAACTCTTGCTTTCGTTATTTGAAATGCTTAAATGCTTAGCAGTCAATTTCACTGAAACTTTTTTTCTCTTTATAGGAGAGTTAATCTTGGTCTATCTGGTGTGAATATTTTATGGATATTTGGCGAATAATGTGTCAATTAATTTCAAACATTTGGACTTTGATGTGACTGGACACAGAAGCTGCGTCTGAGCATCTTGGAGTCACTACCTCTTCTGAAATAAGATAATTGTATGTATGTTACAAACTTCAGATTTTACAAAATACTAGCTCTAGAAAATTTCCTTGTGAGATTGTATGTTTTTAGTATTTTCTACACCACTAGATACTACCTTGAATTTTACATCACATTTCAAGATTTTCCAGCTACCTACAAAACTGTGGACCTTCAGGTTTTTGTTGACCTAAAACAGTACAGTTCTACCTTAATTAAATAAATGTAAGAGTCCATGTTCATTGTAATCCCCAAATGAGAATCCTCTCTGATTCTTCCTCACAGGAATGATTTTTCAATACCATTATTTAGTACAAATACTTAAAAAGAAGCACATTTCTAATTTAGGTGTTTTGTTTGTTTTAATCTCTATATTCCCCTAATGTTCTGCAAATCAGCCCAAGACCAAAAGAGAAATCAGAGAAATTTCTAAATATTCTCTTAAAGATTACTGGAAGAAGCTTGACCAAACTGGTGACTTGGATTAAATTTAACTGATAGAATTCAACTATTTGGTTCTGAGTTGAGAAGTAAGGACACCAAGAAAACTTTGGTTTTAAGAAGTAGTTTGATTTTAACAATTTAGTTCTACTCTGTAATGTATTATCTACATGTTCTCTTTGAGAAAATCATGTTTGTGCAGATTTTTTTAGATATGCTTGAAATATCTGGAGGGTGAGAAGTTAACAAGTTTGTAAGTTTTGTTTCATTCTCCAAGTTTTGTATTCTTTTATGTGTAGGGTCTCTCAAGCTGACAATTTTACATATTTTCTGAACTGGCATCTTACTAGAGGCTGCTTCCATCGCCTTTGTGAATCTGCAGACCACTGAAAGCAGCGTCTTCTGAGTAACTGCATGCCAGTATTACATATGCAGCCCATTTTATATGATTTGTAAATTCTGGTTTTTTAAAAAGTCAGAAGTTCAGAGGAAAGGAAGTTCCTGTCTTTCCACTGTTTTTGTTTAAATATGTTAAACATGTTTGTTATGATATTTTAAAAGATTGTGTCAACTAAGCATGTTAAATATAAAAACATGTTAAAATCTAAGTCTCCATTTGCATAAGTTATTGAAGGTGTCATGGAATAACAGCTGCTGTGCTGTTAAGTTACTCGGTTGCATAATCTTTAAGTAGGAAGAAGGAAAATTTTAAGACATGATTTCTTTATGGAACTTAAGGTGGCCTGTAGTACAAAAATTCAAAACTAACGTTAGAAAGTACAATATACAGTAAATATATTGGGTTGTCAGAGAAGTTGTGGTGTATTTTTTGTTTTCAAGCAAAAATGCGTCATGGCTTTCCTGACAGCCCAATAGAGAACACACTAGAAAAGGCATTTTGTTTGCTTGCGAAGTCTAGTGGTTGCTGGGCCCTCGATTACTGTCCTATGTTGTCTTCGCTGGCATTGGCCAGCATGTGTACTTCAGTACAGCTTTCATTGAAAATCGATGAATTCACATTTCAGGAAGACAGTGCACTGCAAATGTGGTCAATGTACTTGGTCCTAGCATTAAAATCTCTCTTGTTACTTACAAAATGTTTCTCACAAGTTTTTCTTTTGACTCGTCCTTTGTAGAATTGTCTCTGTGGACCCTCTAGGTCAGTCACTATATCATCTTTTTACCCCTCCTGAATATCAGCCTTTACTCCCACCAAATTCATTTTAGGGGTATACTTAGGTGTTTATCATTTAATTTCTGATGAAACATAAAACTACTGTGTTGTTTGACTTTTCACAAACTTTAAACTAAGGTCTTCATGGCGATGGCTTGTGACACATGGCTGGCCCAGGGTCCTTAACCGCGGCCCTTCCTCCTGCCAGGCCTCGTCCTCTGCTGCTGTGTTTGCCTTTCCTTGGAGACCCCATTTGTCTGCAACTTCCTCTGTCACCTCTGCCTTGATTCCCAAGTTTATCGCCAAATGTAACATCTCTCCTGAGCTGGTGTGTTCCATTTCCTGTGACCAGTCAGACATTTTCACTTGGATATCCTTCTACAGACTCCACATCTGGAGCTGAATCCACATCTGCTGAAATCAGCTCCCTCTAACATCTTTTTCTGCGCATTGTACTGCCAGTTGCCCACGCTCAGAACTCTGGTGTCATCTTTGATTTCTTGAGCTCCCTGGGTCCCCAATCCAATCAGGCTGCGAAGCTCATCCATTCTTTCTTAACAATGTCTCTTGCAGCTGTCCCTTTCCATTTCTGCTGCCACTCTGCTCATTTACACCCTTATCAACTCACACAGGACTACTACAGCAGCCTAATTAATCTCACAGCTTCCTAATTGTTGCCATGCTTCCAGATTGCCCAATTCATACTGCACATTCTCTTCAAATTCGTCTTCCTAAAACACCTGTTTGATCATTTCGTTCCCCTGATAAATTCCTTAGGTTGACATTTAAAGCCCTCACAATCTGGCCCAGGCTAGCCGTATCCACCCCAGTCCTTGGCTCCAGCCAAGGCTCTTTGCTTGCTGCCTCCTGCTCTTCCTGATCACTCTCTGGGGGTGCCCCCTCCCCTCTACAGTCTACCTCTGCCTTGAGACTTCCCTCTAATTAAACCTGCTATTTTTTGGAGCTGGTCCTGGCCACTCCAGCTGGCAGTCATTTCTCCCCAAGGGTGATTAGATCTCTGCCCCTTTTTTTGGCACTCAGCAGCCTAATGAATGGGCTCAGAAGTGACTGTTAGTCTCTTTAACTGTGGGTTCTCATCTCTTGTCTGATCCTCATAAAAGGACTAAGTATTTTACTAGTCTGAGCTGTGCTGCTATTCAAGAAAACTTAAGCCACTTTTTGGGAAAGATTTTCACTCTCCTCCTCGAGGGACACCTTATGAGCAGCCAAGCTGCCTTTCCCTGGTGGCTAGGGAAGCATTCCCAGGACTAGAGAGCTAGAGCGGGGGGCCGCCTGAAAAGTCAGGCTGTTAGGGAAATGATGCAGCCAGTTCTGTGTACCCTGGGGGTCTCCCTCAGTGACCTGGGGTGAGGCTATTTCTCTTCGCAGCAAGTGGTCCCGGATGCTACAGCATGCACTGTGAGAGGCCAGGAGTGGCTGGCTGGCCCATCCATGTCTTCTGGTGGCATCAGTCCCACTCGTGCCTGGACTGTGGGCAGGGGCAAAAGCGAGAGGAAGAGAAGAAGAGCACTGCGCTGTTGGTCAGGGAGGTTTCTGGGAGGGAAGTTGTGTGGGCCTCGGGCACCCACTTAGAGTGAGAGGCGTTTGCCTGGTCAGGACCCCTGCCTCTCAGACCCTGGGTATGCCACTGGCTTTCTGCTGGGTCTGCACCATGGAGAGGCTCTGAGCCACAACTCCAGGTTGCCCCTGGATGCTCGCTAGTAATTCCATTTCCATGCTGCATGAAATGCAGTGACCTCAGTGAGACAGGTGATGAATCCTGCAGAGGGTGGCCCCTCAGTCGGGTTAGGAAGAGGAGTCCAGTCCTGCAGGTAGCATCCAGAGAACAACCGCAAGTCTACCCAGGGCCCTGCCCTCCTGGCAGCCACCCTGGAAGTTTCATGGCAAATGCACAGCAAACCAGTGCTTTGAGGATGACATTTAAAGCAATAAGTAAATCCTTTCATGCCCCTAAGTCAAAATGAGCATTTCAAAGGCAGGCTGGTTGGGATACAGTACCACACTGTAGCCTGAAGGCCGAGCTTTCTGGTATACCAGGAAAGCGCGTCTCCTTCCTTTCCCATTTTCTAAATAGAAAGAAAAAATAACAACCCTGAATCATACTCTGCTTTCATGAACTGCACCCATAGGAGGAAAGTCAGAAGGTGGCGATCTGCTCTGTTGGGGGTGACACTTGTTTTCTCAAAACCAGCAGCCAGGCATGATTCTTCCCCAAACACATGGTGTGGAGACCAGAGTCAGCAGCTCTGTGGTAGTTTTGGCCAAAAATACAGGCATCAGCTCACTGAGCTCCAACTCCAAAGAAAGGCACCTGTGTTCCTAACGGTGAGGGGGGTCATCCATTGGATGGCCCGAGGGGCAGAGCAGCCCCACTGACTGGGAAGGGGAGACCTGGCCCTGAACCACAGCCACCAGCCCCACAGCCCAGCAGTTTGAAAAGGTACGAGATGGCTCCCATCTCCAGGCAGTTAACTACCCCTAAAAATAAATCCTCTACAATGTTCTGCTTCCAGTGAAAATTCTGCATGAGTTCTTTTGAATTTTTTTTTTTAATCTCATCTTGAAGAGTCCTGGAGTTAATTACCTTAAAGTAGTGGTTAGACTCCACTTAGATGGCGTGCCTGGGGTAGAACTCGGAGGCGAAGTCCTGGCCTAGAGTACAGTCTCTTAAATAAGACATCAGGTTTGCGGTGTAGCCACAGAATTCTCTTTCTCTTAAACCGCTGCATCTCTCTGAGGAAGCTGCTCCTTTCCCCACCTCACAGCTCTCTCCCCTCACAGACCACCTCCCACTCGCCCACCCCAGGAGCTGCTCTTGGGGAAGGAGCTGAAGCTGCATCTGGCCTCCGTAGGTGCCCTGCTGAGCCCCCCTCACTAGGTGCAGCAGTGGGCAGTGCAGCGAGCCCCACCTTGCCCTGAGCTGGTGGCACTGCCTCTTCCGTGCAGTGATGCATAAGGAAACCAATTTCAACACAGGAGAATCGATAACATAAGATTTAAGTTCCTGTGACTTGCAAAATATCACCAAACTTCTTACGAAACATCATCGAACTTCTAAATCAAGACCCTAAACACTTCCAGTACTCAGCCATCATTTGTATTCATTTTCTAACCCTCTTATTCCCTTTCAGGGTCATGTATGTTCAGACTATCCAGGCAGCTCAGGGTGTAAGGTGGAACCCAACCATGGGCAGGGCATTCTTCCATTACAGGTTTCTGTCCACTCCTTCCCTTTCCCTGTTGTATTGGGACAATGGTGATGCCAGAGAAAACCAGAGTCCCCAAGACAAACCCCCCCAGAAGTGAGGTACAGACTCCACACAGCTCTTCTCCCTCAGGATTGACTTTGCCCCTCATCAACCTGACAACAAAATGGCATTCTTCAGAAGCCTCAAGAAAAACTGCTGACCCCTGTAACTCCTGTAAATGATGGAACTTCTCTTAAACTGCAGGGTCCCTGAGATCCTCCATAAAGACGTAAGGAATTAATAACTGAATTCACTTGAAACACAGTCCTCTGAAATTTTCAGTGGTGTGCTTTTCATAGAAGACTGGAGCTCACAGGCTGCCGAGTAGAAGTGTGGCAGAGAAGAAAAGCAAGAAGCTGGCCAGTGGCTGTGGGATCTAAATTTGTAGGAGGGCCAGGGTACCCTCTACATTGCCATTCCTTGTTACAGGGCTCTTTTGAAACTGATATAATTTTTTTTTAAAGATTTATTTATTCATACAGAACTGGGGTACAGGCCAGAGATGCAGAGGGTGAGAGGATTCACCAGAGACAGAGTGGGGAGCAGAACAGGCAGATCGACGAAGTACACTGCTGAGGGGAGCAGCGGGCGGGTCAGGAGAGGTCTGCCGCGCCATGGGGTCACCTCCAGGGCGGGCGGGGATCGAACTCATGCGGAAGTGGCTTAAGCTTCTATGTGCTGTGCTTTAACCCGCTGCACCACCAGGGAGGGCCTGATTTAATTTTTTTTTTAAGTATGCTTATGGGTAGGGGAGGGGGTAGGGAAGAGGAAGCCATCGATTTCTCAGTAGGATGCAAAATGGTTAGCATCTTACAGCTGGAACTGTGCTGGGTGCATGCAAGCTGTGAGGACGGATGAGGAAGGCTCTAGGCCACTCAAAGGATACCCTTATCCTGTTCCCTGAAACATGGTGGCATTTTCTCCAAGTGTGTCTAATTGGACAGGAAGGGTCTGAGGGCTCCTCTGGGGTCTCCTTCTCCCATGAGGAAACCAAGAGAGTTACAAAGAACTGGTCAGTTTCAAGGGGAAGAAAGGAAAGATAATACTTACCCTCCTACCCCCCCAATGGAGAGGTGTCCCTCAACACAGCACATGAGAGGAGACATATATTGGGGTGGCAGTTTTTGAAAAACCAATTTGCTGTATTGTACAATTGTGTGTGTGTGTGTGTGTGTGTGTGTGTGTGTGTGTGTGTACATGTGTTAATAGATTAGTACTCTGACTCACTAATCCCAGGAAAATATACCTAGGAAAATATTCAACAGAAAATAATTATGCCTAAAGATGTTCATTGCATGCAACTATCTATCCATCCAGTAAATATCAACTGAAATAGTTTGCTAGGTACTAGGAATACCAAGATTTAAGATCCCTTTCCCTCTAATAGTTTCTAGACTACCAGCTAAACAAAACCCATCCAAATGTCCAGTGATAGGCATGCTTTAATAAACTATAGTGCATCAGCTCTGAGAGACCCTGTAATGAAAAGCTTACAGACTTTTATTTTGACCTCTTTTTCAAACTCCTACAACTTTGGAGGACTGGAGAGAGATAGGAGGGTAGACATGAAAATAAATCAGCTGTAGGTCTCCTGTGATTACAGGCCTATAAAAATATGTAT